AAATAAACATCTAAAATGTTTATTTGCCTAGAAAATAATAAAAATAATATGCACAAATTCATAATATTATTAGGTACAGTGAAATACGTCAAGCATTTATTCTAATATCACTGATCAGAACGGCCGAGTTGCGTAAAGCGTGCGTTTCTTTCGTTCCCGCCCAGCGGACCCGTGTTCGCTCCCCGGTAGCCCCAAGATTTTTTCGTTGAAACTGCGAGAAGTGTTTTAAGGTTTATGTTATGACATTCATATTAATATAAAAATTATAATTGTTTCAGTGTTGTTAACAGTTCAGGTCAAGATGTTGCTTCAATCGTTTTACTTATGTAAATTTTTTTTTTAAATCCAGTTTAATTGTGAATGAAAAATTACATTTTTATAACGAATTACTATATTTAGTGCAATATATTTTCTTATAATAATTTTTGTTGATAATTGGAATATTTTTTTTAATTACATAAAATAAACGTGTTTACTACATTAAATCTTATTATTAAATGAATTTCGAAATATTTAAAAGAATTAATTTGACTAGTTTTTCAAAAGTCCTATTGATAAATAATTATCAAGTTGGGCTGGATAATAACTTGATGAAAAAAGCGTGACATGACATTCGAGTTTTTAGCTAGCTGGTCAGTCAAGTAACTAGACAGACTCCAGCGCGACTAGGCAGTTCCTTTAAAATAGCTAGGACAAATTTCTACTAGGGTTAATGTAGAAAAAAAGTCTTGATTTTTCCATATTTGTATGAAAATTTTATTAAATCAATTAAAATGAAATTTCGAGATTAATATAACAGTAGTAGTTATGCATAGGATGAAAGACGCAATAAGTAGAATGAGTCATTAAAGGCAAGGCGAAAGGAGAAAATTCTGTTGCGTTGAAACATCATTGTCTGGCAAGTAGTATAGGTCTGACAGTGGTCAGGCGAGCCTTATCGTGGGTTTTAACACGAAAAGAGGGAATGAAAAGAGGTTTTGAAGTCAGCTACTAGCATTTGTACGTGTCGTTCTGACATTTTTCTTAGTCTACCTATTTTTCCCACTCGTTATTTTCCGTTAGAGCAGTCGTTTTTCTCAATTGGTCACCGTCAAGTTCGTGTTTTTCCTTCTCTCTCGCTTTCTCTACTTTCTGAGGTCGTTGTACCTTTTAGGCCTATATTATATATTATGAAATTGCAACCAAGTGGAAAACTGCTACTTACAATGAAGAAATTAGGTTATGTTGTTATGTAATATTGTGAATTCTTACTTGTCAAAGTAAACATACTTGCTTATTATTTATTATATATATATATATATTCGTGAGCAAAAACCTGTTTATAACATTGTAGTTACAAACGTTTAATTATATATATATAATTAAGTCCCACCTACTATTAAATTAATGTACAGGTAAAATTGCACACTGAAATACTCAAAAAAAACTGGTTTTGGTAAAAAAAAAACACAGGAAAAATGTCATCCTTTATACATCCTGTATAAGTTTTTTTTAAAATCTACTGTTGATTCTATTATCGATAGAATCTTTCTTAAATCAAGTGAACGCATTTTTCCTTGAGTATTACTAAGAATAAAAGCATTGTTAGTTGCATCGAGCTCGTTTTTTGTGTAAAATATAAAGTGCGTATATATCAGTTGAATGTGCGGTATTTTAGCATTTCACCAAAGTTGATAGTCTAAAAGTGGGTGGCGAGACGGAAAAAAAGGGCTTTACAGTTTGGTGTATGTATGGTGGGTGTTTATGAGTAGGAGTTGGAAAGGCGGTGTGCAGTAGACTTTTTGAATGCTTCCTCGCATTAACAGCACTCCAGTTCATGCAAGTGGTCTATTACGGGCCTTTCTCTCTCTTTTTTCCAGTCTTCTTACACACCCTCGTGCGCCGTCCCTTTGGCAGCTTGTCGAGTTTTCTGCTTCTTCCGATCTCTCGATCTACCTTTGACTTGCCATCCACCTTCCGCTCTGGCAAGTCTTCTTCTTTTTGAGTCACCCTGCTTATATATATATATATGTATATACACCAGCAAGTCTTCTATTGCAAAAGAGAGAATGGTCTTTCTGTCCAAGCTCTCTACCATCTCTAAAAGTCTTTTCTTGACCAGAAGAGCTCATTTCGATTAAGTATAATGGTGGAAGGAATGAAAGACTTGACTTTCACGAACACTGTGTGTTGTGTAGCTCAATATATACATATATATATATACTGTGCGTAAGTATCTTATGTTCTGCCCGGAACTTCCTGTATTCCTTTAGTTTTCTTCTTTACTTTATTCTTCCTTCTTAAGAGTATAACAATTTCCTTTTGTAAAGTATCTTCTCACATTTTGTCTTATTTGCGAGAAAAACGATACCAATTACTCAAAAGTTCTTTGTTTTTTGTATTTTATACTCTCTAAATATAAATTACACTAGAAGCCCGATCATCGGTTTTCTGTTTATATAGTTTGCTGATGAGGTTGGTGGAGCGCAAATCGAGGGAGCTGTCAAATAGGCGGTAGATACCAAATTATATTAGTCATTCTGCGCATAGTGAATAATTTAGTTATTGCTATTTTTAGACTATCTTTTTTACAATTTAACAAAAATTAAATTACAATCTTCAAGGTTAGTGCTCAAAAATGAAATATCCATGGTGGGCCCGATGACCATGACGCACATCAAATGCTGATGTTTTCCCTAGTAGAAATTTGTCCTAGCTATTTTAAAGGAACTGCCTAGTCGCGCTGGAGTCTGTCTAGTTACTTGACTGACCAGCTAGCTAAAAACTCGAATGTCATGTCACGCTTTTTTCATCAAGTTATTATCCAGCCCAACTTGATAATTATTTATCAATAGGACTTTTGAAAAACTAGTCAAATTAATTCTTTTAAATATTTCGAAATTCATTTAATAATAAGATTTAATGTAGTAAACACGTTTATTTTATGTAATTAAAAAAAATATTCCAATTATCAACAAAAATTATTATAAGAAAATATATTGCACTAAATATAGTAATTCGTTATAAAAATGTAATTTTTCATTCACAATTAAACTGGATTTAAAAAAAAAATTTACATAAGTAAAACGATTGAAGCAACATCTTGACCTGAACTGTTAACAACACTGAAACAATTATAATTTTTATATTAATATGAATGTCATAACATAAACCTTAAAACACTTCTCGCAGTTTCAACGAAAAAATCTTGGGGCTACCGGGGAGCGAACACGGGTCCGCTGGGCGGGAACGAAAGAAACGCACGCTTTACGCAACTCGGCCGTTCTGATCAGTGATATTAGAATAAATGCTTGACGTATTTCACTGTACCTAATAATATTATGAATTTGTGCATATTATTTTTATTATTTTCTAGGCAAATAAACATTTTAGATGTTTATTTGATTTTAAATGATTTACTTATAATTTAATTTAAACATTAGACAATTATAAAAAACTAATTACTAATTTTTTTTATTTATTATCCTCAAAAATTATATGTAAAATTTTATAAATAAAATTATTTTAATAAATTAATAATTATTGATATAATATAATATTATTATTATTATTATTATTATTATTATTATTATTATTATATTATTATAATATACTCAAACAGAAAAATAATATTCTACTATATTTGTAAAATTTGTCTGAAAATAATAATAATTGTTTAATCATTTTTTTTTAAAAACTAAAAACACTTTTTATTCAAGGTAATATTATTTTCATAATAATTTAATTTATTGCAATTATTTTATTATAATTTAATAAATTTTATTATTTTAAAAAAGCGCGCGCTATTTTGTCTTGGGCCAATCAAGTGATTTCAACTAAATATAGGTTATGTTCGTTTCTGATTCATGACAGCTGGCAAACATTTACAACAAATAATATTTTGCAAGTGTATATTTATTGCAATAAGATAAGTTATGCAAAAAATATATATGTGGAACAATAATTTACAGTGATTTTCATAAAATGAATATTGATTTAGATGCTCTGGAAAGCAAAGTTCATTTTTTCTTAAATTCAATTTTTTCGACCACCGAGATATTTCGATACATTTTCATGTGTTTTGTATGCACTGTCTTTTTTTGAGAAAGGAATATTAATATTATTATTATTAATTTTTATAAACAAGTTGTAATTTTTTTAAATCAAGCAAGCGAAATGTCAATACACAAAATCCTAGCATAGCTGTCCAGTTACTAGACTTATTGAAGCGCCACCGCCATGACAAGGATATGAATTTAATTTCGAGCAGCACTGGACAGTGCCATTAAAAAAACTGGATAGCTTTGAGTCGTGGAATTATCAAGTTCAACTTGAATTTCTTTCAAAAAGCACTGATCAGTAACTTCACAGTTATTTATCAGTTCAGCTAGAATCAGCGTCCGCGAGAAAAACTGTCAAGTAACTTGAGTCAATCTAGTGCATCCACGACAAATTTCTACTAGGGTTAAACAATATATTAGCGATTTTCAGTCTGTTTAGTATTCCTGTCATTTATATTCACAGAAATAATACTTCTACACTTTAATTAATGAAAAAAAAATTTCTGTTTTTTATTTTTTGTAAAATATGTAAAAGCTTTCCCATGACGATTCTGCACTGCAAAAAGTAGGTATCTTTTTGATGTCTTAAAACAAGATGTTAAAATAAAATGATATCTTTCATTCGCTTCCATCTTAGAATAAAATGTTAATTTTAACATTTAGATGCTTTATTCCTATTATAACATCTTAAAATAACACACTTTAAATAACTATAAAAGATACTACCAAAACGTCTTAAAAGTGACTACCAAAACATCTTATATTTAGACACTAATTTTTACAGTGTGTAATTCCCTATACCAGTTTGTCGTTTTAAATTTAAAAAAAAAAACTTTAAAACAATTTATTTGAAATAAATAAAAATTACTTAAATATACACTTTTTTTTAAAATTACTATTTTTTTTCTCTGGGTGTAATATGTTTAGAAAGATCCATTAATTAAAGTTGTCTGATTTTAGGATCGTATGACGGCAAACGGAAATTCACCTTTGGATAGTATGCGGACATTAGAACATTATTTAAGTGACATCATGCGAGCGGGAGCGGCTGATACTTCGGAACATCTTAAAGGTAAGGTCAATCAAATTATCAACATAGTTTATTCAAACAAATTTGTTACACCGAAATTTTTAAAATATTAGCAAAGTAAAAGAATATTATTTGCGAGAATTTATTAATGAAAGCGAAATAACCCAGTGGGAAATTGCCAAGACTGAATATTGGCTAAATATTTGACCAGTTATTTTAGCCAATATTGGACCAAGTCTGGGAGTGTAGAGACCAATGCCAAAGCTCGAATTTCAATATTGGCCCAATATTCAACCAATATTCAAAAATACAAAAAATTAGACTTCAGCCAAGATTAAAAAAATTAATTATTAAAACTAAAATATAATAAAATTTTCTGTTATATTTATATATTATTATATATAATAACATTATTATTTTCCTTCGGATCAAGGGTTATATATAAAATCATCCGCAATAAACGAAGAAAAAGAAAAAAATATTTTCTAATGTCCTGCTAGGCATTAACATAATTATCAGCTACATAAAAGAGATATTGTGAAGATTCTGTACATATTGCGGATACTTATACCCTAACCGATTGATGTTGTTTATGAGAGAGAAAAACACTGCCATCTGGCGGATAGTTGGAAAATTAACGTAGCGTGAAATTCAAACTGCATGAAGAATAAACTGTAAGTATAAAGAATTAAAATTAAAAAAATTATTTGTGACCATTGTAACATTAGTTAAGTTTTGTTTAATGCAGTAGTATGCATTCTTAAGAAAATACATTTTCAAGTAAATGTTTATATTTACAGTTCTTCCTTCACGCAATTTGAATTTCGCGCTACGTTAATTTTCCAACTATCCGCCAGATGGCAGTGTTTTTCTCTCTCATAAACAACATCAATCGGTTAGGGTATAAGTATCCGCGATATGTACAGAATATTCACAATATCTTTTTTATGTAGCTGATAATTGTTAATGCCTAGCAGGACATTAGAAAATATTTTTTTCTTTTTCTCCGTTTATTGCGGATGATTTTATAAATAACCCTTGATCCGAAGGGAAATAATAATGTTATTATATATAATAATATATAAATATAGCAGAAAATTTTATTATATTTTAGTTTTAATAATTAATTTTTTTAATCTTGGCTGAAGTCTAATTTTTTGTATTTTTGAATATTGGGTCAATATTGAAATTCGAGCCTTGGCATTGGTCTCTACACTCCCAGACTTGGTCCAATATGGGCTAAAATAATGGACCAAGATTGGCAAAAGTGCTCCCAATATTGGACCAATATTCATCCAATCGTGCTTTTCCCACTGGGAATTATTAAAATCGAATTTTTGTAAAAAAAAACAAACAAAGAATCATCCTCGAGTAGAATGGAGAATTTTTATTTTTCTTTTCGTAAAGCTTGCGAAAACCCCAAAAGTGCATTGAATAAAAGCTTAGAGGAAATAAGAAAGTAAAGAGGTACGACGAAATAGCTACGGAAGTAAAGTTCAGCGATCCTAAAGGATTCGTAAATGTCCCATTGGCACGGCCATTTGTTTGTGATTGGCAGTGTATACCTCACGTTCGTTTTGTGTCTTCTCGTTTTTCCCTTTTTTAGCTTTTCATCTATTTCTTGACTTTCGACAAGGTCGACAGTCCATGAAGCAAAAGATAGAATCGAAGGTAGAATCGCATTGGCAATGTGTCTCAGAAAGATTGTCGCAAATCTATGACAGCGACCCAATACGGAAACTCAATTCAGTGCGTCAATCCCACCTCGACTCTCTCATGTTCTTCGATTTTTTTTTCTTTTTTTTTTTTTATATTCTCTACCTACTTCATCCGCCTCTTTGGCTTCGTCGCGCCACTCTTCACTGCAATTCCTCTTTTCCGCGGACTAGGCGACCCTGCCCCTTACTACAGACAAATAGCTACAAAAATGTGTTGAGAAACAAGAATTTCTTGAATATATACGATTCTCTTAAAATTTTATTTAGTTTCAGATTTAAAGAAAATTTTACATTTTTAATTATTTATATTATAGACATCACACGAATGTACTAATTTAAATTAGTAGCTCACTTTTCACTAATTCAGATTTAGAGAGATTCCTCAAATTTGGATTCAATCTTTAAATTAGTGCGTATTTGGTGATCTCACACACTGAGAAAAATGATTAGTCAGAGCAATCAAAATTTCGTTGGGCCAACAAAAAAATTTGGTTGGTATTTAAGCAACCAAACTATTTGTTTGACTCAACCAAAAAATTTGATTGAGTGTTTTTTGTTGGCATAACAAAAATGTTTGGTTAACTCAACAAAATTTTTTTTGTTAAGTCAACAAAAATGTTTGGTTGATCAAACAAACATTTTTTTTTAAATAAAAATTTTATTCTACCTTATTTCTTTTCTTTTTATCTTTTTTATTTATTTCATTATTTAGTTAAGATGGTAAATAAGTGTCTCCTATTAAGTATTTCATTGACCTAATCATATCTGATAAGGTAGAAATTTAATTGACCAACAGTCAAATTTTTATGTACGAAACTCGTACAAATATTTTTCGTACATCGTTTCTGAAAAAAGTGGGTCGTTTCTCGCTGCTGGGGTATGATCCCAGAACCTTTTTACTGCCGGTAAGATACTCTACCAATTGAGCTACAGAGAGACCCGATTCCGAATTTTGGTTGGAATTTAAAAATGTTCAACCAAATAATTTGGTTGGCCTAACCAAATGTTATGTTAAGATAACTCTACGACTTTGTTTCAGCCAACCAAAATTTGTCTACAAGAACCAAAATTACCTAACCAAATAATTTTGTTGCAATCACTAAAATTTTTTTCTCAGTGTAAATATAAATTTTATTAATGTTATTGTGTACTTAATGTAAAAAGAAGGTACTAAGATAGTACCGATTTTAGGTATTAAAATAGAACAAAAAGGCAATTTAGTACCTAAAGTTAGTATTAATTTAATAACTCTCGTTTTACAGTGTTTCTGCCAAAGAATAGAAAAAAAACTAAGAAATTAGAGCACTAGTAAATTATTAATGTAACATTATTAAACACGCTTCAAGTTGTTGAATGTTATAATTTTTCTCAACTTTTTGCAGGAAGAAAAATTCACCTTTTCACTCTGTAATTGTTGAAATCACTTAACAGAAACAAGAATAGATTTTCTTTTTTTTTGTTTGAACCTCTGAATTAGGAAATTGAATTAAAATACATTTCACAGTTGAATTCGATTTAATGCAATAAGGTTTATCCCACACTAATTTGAAAAGTGTAATATTTAATTTTCTAATTCTGGATAATGTAATTGGTGCAATTCATTTTGAAATTGAACATTGGCTTTGAGAGAGTGTGGGACACAAAGTATCGATTGTCGATTAGTGAAAAAGTGCAGAGTAATGTTGAGATCTTCCAATTTCCTGACTTTGGTTGGTGAACCCTCGTTTCGGAAAATTTAGAGTCATCACGTATATTGTGGGGTTTCAAAAAAAAAATAAGGGTGGAAAAAAAACGAGAATTCAAGTAAAACGAAAATAGTAGAAAGGAATTTCACATTTGATGTAATCTTGTGTTCCAAATCACAATGCTTTCCGGCATACCTAAAACGTCCTTTTGATGAGAAGTTGAACGACAGTCTCACAACCTTTCTCTTTAAATTTATTTTATATCTGAAAATGTTATTTAGACACGCGAATCTTTTTATATAGAGAAGTTTTAAAAGTTCCAGAAGAGAGGATATTTTTAATTCTTTTTTTTTAAATCGCACAATTATGTGATGATTTTTTTATTTTTTATTATAATATTTTTTAATTTTTACTACTTTTATAATTTGTTTAAATGTTCAACTTTCTTTTCCCTTTATAAATTTTTTTTTTTTTTAAAGATTTTTTCCCTCAAATTTTCTGTTTTGTTATTCTTAAAATTTATTTATTTCCTTTTACAAATTAATCCAAAATTCTCCATTTTTCCTGCATATTCTTGTTTTTATTTAAGAAATTTATTAAATTAACCATTTTTCTATGATTCTAATTTTGAGGTTGTCAGTATTTTTTTCTATGACTGACCAAATTTTGAAGTTATGTTCGCCTTCACGCCTATGACCTTTAACGTAAATTTGAGGCTATCTTCTCCTTTGAGCTATGACCTTTGATATTTGAAGGAGGAGGATCATCTCTTGACCTCTGATAATAATTTTGAGGTTATGCCCGTCTCAACTCCGTCAAAAACTTTGGTTTTTGACATATGTCCTTGATTTTTGAGGTTATGTTTGTTTTAAACTATGTTTCTGTCGTTTGACCTTCAGTATTGATGTTATGTTAATTTTTAACCTATGTTTATGACATAGTACAATCCTGGAGATAGAAATGGGTCATTCCACGTCAAGAGGTCGCTGGGTTTGAGGTTAAAATCAAAACTACAAAAAAATCGTATTGCCGAAAATACATTTTTTTACAGTGCATGTATATTGCGAAAAAACCTAGGGAAAAGTTTTATTTGTTGAATTACATAACGTTAAAGGGATAATAAAAAAAATTAATTTAACTAAGGAAAAATTGAATATTTATTATTTGCTAAATGAAATTATTCGAAAAGAAACATGTTGTAATTGAAATTTACGTATTTGTAAGAAATTCCATCTTGCACTTAGGTAATTAAATCAGAGATGAAAATGAAGATTAAGTAAATAAATTCACGTAGATAATATATGTGCGTTGGGTACAAATGTTGGTAATACATCTATAGATGCATACGTAAGCATATGTTCATTTGGAATAGAGATTAATTTCGTAAGGTATGTCTTTGTCACATCGAGAGTGGATTAAGTGGGATGAACCTCGAGTATGTGAAGTAGATTGATTACTTGTGTCGCTTCGTTGCTTTCATATAATAGGAAAACCTCTTTCTCTCTCTCTCTAAATATATAGAATATGTTCGGTAAACTTTCGGAAACACTTGGACTCCCGCGAGAGGTTCAAATTCACGGCTTCCCGGCCACAGGGGTCACTTGAGCCAAGAGCACACCGCATTGGGTCGCTTCGGTAA